CTCTCCAAAAATAGTAATGTTTTGAGCATCTCCTCCAAACGCATTAATATTAGCTTTTACCCATTTAATTGCAAACAGTTGATCTTTTAAACCCATATTGCCAGGACATTCATCAATATCGAAGTTKAGAAATCCTATACACAAAATCTACAAGTTATTTTTTTTATTATAAATTAATAATATAATATTTTATAGGTAATAAGTTACAAAAAAAAGAATAACATTAGTTTTCGAATTAAATTACCAAGAGCATTCAAACGATAGTTGATTGTAACTATGATAACATTTTCATCAATCAAATAATCAGGAGAGTAGAAATCTAGCGATCCAGATCCGTTATAAAACATCCCTCCATGTATGAACACCATCACTGCCTTCTTTTCATTTTGTTCTTCCTGGTTAGTTGGAAAGCCATAACAACCACAAAAAAAATCCAATCAATAACTGTACATTATAAATGGTATTATTTTTCTATAATAGGTACCAATGGCACAAATATGTTTAAATATAAACAATTTTCACTTCCAACAATTTTTTTCTCTAAGAAAGAATACTGCATGCTCATATTTCCTACGGAAAATGCTTTCAATGTACCAGACCATCCTGGATGTTTGACAGGAGGCTGTAAAACAGAAACCATTAACGGTATAAACAAAATAAATAGTTAATAATTCTTTCAAAAATAAAATATTAATATTATAATATAAAATATATAATACCTATATTGTACGTGCGTACAAGATATAATATATAATGTATTATATACTGATATACTATTAAAAAACAAAAAATTACCCACCTTGAATCTCAGTTTTCCAACAGGTGGTTTAGCATAGGGTATGCCTAAAAAACTGACATAAGGCTTATTTGACACTTGTGTTTTATAGTGAATTCCTTGTAAAGTGCCTTGCTCAATAAAAACAGTTGTTTTATTTTGTGGCTAAATAACATAATATTTCAAAACCTATTTAACTTTATGGTTATAGCCTTATAGGTAAACATTTTCTTACAACACTAATACCTCTATAAAAAGCCAATATACCTACAAAATAGAGCTATTAATAGAGCTATTTTATTTAATATTTTATTTTCTACAACAATATAAGAAAATCGTTTGACAAGAAATCGTTATCTTACGCGATTCCGTCAAAATTTAAATTTCAGTCACTTATAAAAACTATTTTTGAGGAATCGCGATAGATTTTTTTGTAATTCCACATATTAATATAATATATATTATACTATTATACTTAATAGTACCTATACAAGACCGTACCGTCAGGTATCTTACGACAGTGCTGGACAAAAATTCCTTGAATTTGTTGACTAGAATTTTAGTGATGAAACGCCATTTGACGAACGTCCTCCATGGTGTCGACATAATCGAACGAATAAGTATTAAGTTGTCAAAAATTGATTTTTTATTCGAAGCAGAACAGCATCGGAACACGTACAGCGGGGAACAGACGGACGTCCGGCCCGGTCCGCACTGACAACATCACTAAATAAACATAACGATTAACGGGTTAGTTGGTTAGTACCACTCCGAAACACCTTATCTAAACTCTCATTTATACCGCCTGAGCTTAAAAGTTAAAAGTCCACATTTCCACAATCGTTATTCGTGAGTCGTGACCCAGTAACGTCACGGTTAGTATACGAACTTAATGTTAAAAGGTTAAAACTTAAAAGCGTATGTCTAGTGACCAAACTTTTTTAGCAAATAAACGAATACGCTTATAATATAACCGATAACAGAACGGTGCGCACGGCGGCGGGCGGTGGCACAGACGAAACGTTAGCATTATGAAGTGTTTGATTTATTATATACTTTAAATTTGTACCTAATCGAAACCGGCACGTGTGACTGACGCCAGGGGCGTCATTTGGGGGGTGGCAGGGTGTGCGGTTGCACCCCTTACTTTTAGAATGTTACAATTGGCCTGCGCCTTGCTGAAGCGTAAAATAATGCACCAGCCTCGAATGCACAATTATTTATATGATTAAAATCAAATTGTAATAACCGGTCTATAATGTATGGAAATAATTGAATGCGGGATAATATACATATACGTATGTATATCTATTTTTATATGGCCTGGTGAAATTTCAAAATGGCCTGCTTGAAACTTCGCACACCCGAAAAAAAAACCTGAAATGACGTCCCTGACTGACGCCTGTTACGTCATGTCCGCTGCCTATACGCGCCTCGACACGCTTGTGTAGCGCATTGTTCRTGTTCGCCATACGTCAGTATTATATTGTATAGGTAGGTAGTAATTTTATAATATTGTTTATGCTAGGTAGGTATACTTATAAATTAATTTAGAAAAAAAAACATTGTACATGGGTTGTAGATATTTAAAAATGAAATTCTCAAGCCTTAGATAAAAATAAAACAAATGATAATAATTGCAAAATGAATATTCATATTATATACAATAGCTGTTCTTGAGAAGGCTCTAGGGGGGAGCGAAAATATATTGTATATACTTATTATACTTACAATTTACATACATATTTTCTTGTTGGCTGTTGCTTTCATATTTTTACTCAGCCCCAATGGGAACGGGGGTCCACTGTATATATAATTGTAGATTTCAATTCAGTCTTTTATCGTTTGAGTAGGTATTTATAAACATAATTACATGTTAAATTTATTGAAAATAATATAATAATATAAAATATATCTTATAATATTATTTAAAAAATATAAAAATGTATTTATTTAAATATGTGCCCCTCATAAAATATTTAAAAATTGAATAAAATATGTCATATAATACTATTTAAAAAGTAGAGAGACTTTTATTCCGTTTACCGGCTCGCAGGGTGCGCCATGGCCAATCTYATTCTCACGCCTATGATGAAAAATCTAAAAATTGTGTTTTGGGCTTCTTTATATATGGTGTAAGAAGGACTTAATCTCTGAATACACTTTTCCTGGGCCGTAACCTTCTATTAAATTATTAAATCAATATTTCTATATGCTATTCATAGTTTTTTAAAACTACATCAAAAATAATTAAACATTTTAACAACTTTTACGTTTATACTTAGTAGTAACTAGTAATTGTTTATTATTTTTTTGGTTTTATTATTATTTATTGTCTGTAAGTTGTAACTAATAACTTCCTGAAGACCAAGACAGCAACACTTACAGAATATAGGTATTAATGTATTATTACTTTAGTAATGTTATTAGCATTGTTTTGCAATGTATTAATATAATAGGTATTCGTATTTATAATGTTTACTATTTAGTGTTTATATTGTTATTGTAATTATTATGCTTATGAATCCTACGTCTATGTGACTATATTATGGCATTATCAAGAAGGTAAGATTTTTATTTGAACTTTAGTAATAATAAAAGCAAGGTGCAAATATCAGATTCTGAGATATTTATTTATTTATAATAGATATTAATATATTCTATATTGGAATGGTTAACTATAAGCTGAAGTAATATTAATATTGTTTTATTATTTAATAAAATATATGCTTCTTTAATCAGTATTCATTTCATTATTTATTTATTTAATAATGTTGATACTTATCAAAATGATTTTTAACTAAAATGTTTGGCAATATTCTAATTACTATCCACAATAAAAATTATTTACAATTTTCCACACCATTAAATTTTGCTTAGCGTTTATAGGAAAAAAATAAAAAATGTACACAATCATGTAACTGCACAGCTGTACAGTTGGTATCGAGTATGCTTCATCTCAGAGTAGGTAACTTTAATGGATGTGTTAAATATTTGAAATTTTAACACAATGATAAATCATTGCATACTAACAAAAAATTTTAGTTTCAGCTTATATTTCTACAAGATATCATCTATAATGCTAGCAAAGTATTTTATTGTACTATTAGTAATACAGAGTAGGTGTTATATGGTATAAATTATAAGCTTAAAATTTATCTTAATATATTGAAAATGTCAAATCTTAATATTACTTTTGAATTACAACAAAATTGTTATCCTTTGTCGAATATACAATTTTATCAACATTTGAACTTTAAATGTATTTAAATAAAAATTATTGATCTAATGTCAGTTATAAGTGGAACGTGAATTAGTTTTGTGCCATACATTTTAAAAGGTTTTTCTGAATATCTTGAATTTTATTTATCTAATGCTCTGTTGAGGTGTTAGAAATTATTATATTTTATAGAACAAATTTCTGAGTAATACAGACACATACAGTTATAGTACCAGCAGGCATATTGAAAATTCCTTATAATTTCACTTTAGAAATTCCAAAAATTTTACTATCATTTTTATAAAATATATCCATGGTCATTGATCTAGATGAATCATATATGATATTATCAACTGTAAATTTTTTTATAAGATGTTTTCATTAAGTAATTTTTTTTTAAAAACATTTACTTATATTAATTTCACCATAAGTAGAACATATTAATACAATCATGGAGCAAATGACTATCCTCTGAAGTGTTAATAGAATTGTAAAATTAAAGATCATCTTTAAAMAATAAATATTCAGCATATAAAAGTAGGTATTTTATCCAGGTAGATTACAAAAAATTAAAATAGTAAAAATGAAATATGATTATCCTGTAATACTCTTGATATAACTTTAAAATTATGTAACTGAGGAATTATACATATATAAAATATAGCTGATATATTATTAGAATAGATATAATATAACGCTCAAATAACATACATCACAGTTTTATTTTCATTTATCTATAACTATGTTTACCTACGTACACACATCATTTAGTCAAAATAATACTTAATTAAATACCTAAATGGTTTCAATATACACTTAAGTCATAATTTAAAATAAATAATTATTCACATTTTGTGTTTTCGTCTTCCTCTTTGTTGGTAGTTGAATGATCAATAACTTCTAAACAATACAAAAATAAAAATAAATTAGTAAAAATTTTACTTTTATTTCATATATTTTAATTACTGTGATTGTTATGCTATACAGTCAATATTATAATACTAAAAGAATAGTTTATAATAATATACTCACCATTGATTTCTTGTCCTTCCAGAATACGCCAAATCATTTCTCCATAAGTGTTTCCATAATAATCATCATCGTCACTATTTACACTGTGACAGGATGAATCCGATTCTAGGATAGTGCTCAATCTCGGCAATGATGATATAGTATCCTGAGGTTCTTCTTTTGTGATATGCTTTTCTGTGTTTAAAAACATTACACTTGTTAATCAATTATGTATTTATGTACCATTATTTAAAAATATTATTACTTATTTTCCTTCTGGATAACTTTAATTTTTTTTTTGGATGACAATTATTAACTTGTTTGTCAAGGATTGGTGGTTCTGACAATTCAACCATATCCTCTAGAACCTCTTCATTTCTTCCTGGGAACGCTCTAACATTAGTATTTTTATACCGGGGTTTTTTCTGACATTCAATGTCATTGTTTTTTTGATCCACTGTATTAACAGTTTTAGCAGCGTTTATCTCTTCTATCACTTTAGAAAGTTCTGGCTTATATTCTGAAGTAACTTCACGACCTAAAGATAAACTACTCAACTTGTTTATGTATGCTAATTCGTGACGCATCTGATACTCCATCAATTGTAATCTATTAGAAGGATCAAAGTTCTTACGCTCTTCGTATTGAACTTTGAAACACTTATCAGCGACGCGGCCCATAAATTTGCGGACCTCAGCTCTTGGATAATTAGCCTAAAAAAATAATTGAATAAATTAAAGTTTTGTAGAAATAAATACGGATGAAGGTGTTTCAGTAGACTCACTTCTAAGCAAGGGTTGATGGCTGTAGCTGTAATTGTTATTTTTCTTTTGATATCTAGTTGGTAAAAACAGTAGGCTGGGTCTCGTAAACCTTCATTAAGACAACTGTCGACCAATTCTTTAGTATTTAAGTAGTCTTTGCGCACCATTTTTATATCGATCATATAGTGTATAAACGGTTGAGTCCTGTAGATGGTGTACAATAAATAAACGGCACCTATTCGTGCTTCTCTGGATTTAGATCTCAAAAACTTAGTTGCCACTGCAAGAGAGTCTTGTGTGGTTGTGATGTAATGATGTGGGGCTACATATGTGAATTTCTTTTCCCTATTGTACTTAGCATAAATTTCATGGAACTTTGTAGAATTAAAACATTCTAAAAACGAACAGTATGTTAATGTTTTACTTTTAATAAACAAGTCAATTAAGTTAAAAGAATCAATGAATAGATTTGAATAGTAGGTGCGCAGTTCTCTCGAAACTTTAATAGCATTGTTAGCATATATCTTATGTTTAGATGTAATTATTGGGAAAACCAACTCTTCTTCTTCACTGCTGTCTTCATTACTTGAGCAGGTGTACTCAAATTCTGACATTTTTTTTTTTTGTAACTACCTGAAAATCAGAAAAATAACTGAACTTGAGAGCCAAGCATGTATGTTTTGATTGGATTTTTTTTTAACTATAAAAGTATAAAATTAGTGTAACGACAAACGACTTCCTTAGTTCCTTATGCAATACACTAGTTATCAACCATTGTAGGAGATAACAATGAGTACCTATTGAAATATAATAACAAATTAATTTCCCTCTTTTTTTAATATAATAAAAATTATTTTAAAATTTATTTGCGAATTAAGAAGTGTAATGATCACTATAAGTAACACAGCGCATAAAGGTATTTAGATTACATAATGTTATGTGATCCAGAATATTTAGATCTAAGACGGGAAGTAACTGTTTTTTTGTCGTTGTACTTACTCGATTACAATTCCATTAATTCCAATGACTATAGGGTGTTCAGAGATGCAAACTGYATGGGTATTAGTACATTAGGACATTAGGTAGAAATCTTACATATCAATATTATGGCCATCGCCAGCGTCGAATTTTCGAATATAGCCGCAAAGAACCGCTGAGGAAGCTTGCGGTTTTTGCCTTTTGGGGGTAATAAGATAATAATTGATAATAATGTTATCAGAAGAATACAAGTTAGTTGTGTTGCCCACATGGTTCACATAAAGGGGCAATTAAGTACGTGATGATCAAATATTAAAATAGGCGACAAAAAGTTGCTGCTGTGATTCACCTGACAAGCGAAATCATGGTTTAATGGTTCAATCTGTGGTTTAATACTTCAAAAGTATATTATTCGTTAACAATGTCATTGTGGTGCATAAAGACAAATACGACTGCTTTAAATATTAGTAAGCTGCAAAGAAATAATAACCCGTTATCTACTACGAGTACGAATTGAAATCAGAAATAGACAATAGTTGAATAATAATAATTAATATCTGATTATCTGAATATCAGAATATGAATGAAACGACGATGACACGTGAACTGTGAAGCCATATTTACATTTAATCATTAAATCAATCTTGTAATAACTTAAAACTACTCTGTAATTTATTTTAATATTGAATTACCTAATCATTGGCTATTCAAACTTTTAATTGTCTCCAGAGCCACGTTGAACGGGCGGCAGGGGGAATAGCCCCGGGATGGCATACGAGGGTGGTTCGGAAAGTAAGTTCCGATTGCGGTTTGTGAGCGGAGGAGTGGGAGTAGAGGCAGGGTCTCGGCGGCGTCGCGTAAACTGGTTCAATCTGCGTCTGTCAGTACACTGCGAAGGTTGATCGGGTAATTCTACGCGTTCTAGAAATAAAATAAAATGGCTGCTGCGAGTGAAACTCCCGCCGGCTCAATTGACAGCCCGGCTTACTTACTGTGTTTTTTGGGACAGAAAATGGGTCCTTTTGGTGGAGTTCGTGGAAAGGGGCACCACGATTAATTCGACAGTGYACTGTGAAACATTAAAGAAACTTAAGCGAGCGATCCAGAACAAAAGAGGGGGAATGTTGTCTGATGTCGTTCTTCTCATTCACGACAATGCACGTCCTCACACCGCAGCACGAACTCGTGAACTTTTGGATCAATTTGGTTGGGATGTTTTTGATCATCCGCCCTACAGTCCTGATTTAGCTCCAAGTGATTTTCACCTGTTCCCCAATATGAAGAAATGGCTTGGAATGCAGCGCTTCGTGAACGACGATGAGTTGAAAGATTGCGTCAACCAGTGGCTAAATGAACAGGCGGCTGAATTTTATTCAGTGGGAATTGAAAAACTTCTTTATAGATACGACAAGTGCTTAAATGTTGGTGGAAATTATGTAGAAAAATAGTTTAATGTATGCTCTGTAAGATGTATATAATAAAAAGTCTGTAAATGCATTGAGTATTTTTTTATACTGATGGGGTGGCAAATTGTTGAGGATCAAAATAAAATAAAAAATATATAATTATAATAATAATTTTCTTTAGGGCGGAATATTTTTATTCACCTCAGCGTGGTAACATAGTTTAACGCGGCACGGATTGTAATTTGATTTAACCTCCTATTATACAAATTAAGTACCAGTAAACTTAGAACTTAGCAGGGGTCGTTTTGGATATTTCTTGAAGTAGGGATTTTTCTAAAAAAAAAACATGAAAATTGTAAGTTTGGTTGCTACACATGAATTTCTAGACTAAAAATTATACTTTGAAATGTTCACACATCATAATTTGTAAGATATGTCATTGTCTTGTTGATTTTTAAACAATTTTCAAAGTTTGTTAAAATTCAAATTTATTTCTTACTAATCAGTATTTTGTTATCATTAATAGGTAGGCAATCAATCTAAGGTTATCAATAATAAATACATATATTTTATCATTATTTAACATTATCACTTGATGCATACCAGTATACCATTTATAAGTCAAATAGACCTGTTACACTCATAACGGCCTGTATATTGTATCCATATAAATGTTCATTTTTTGAATGAACATAATACAGGAATAACCAGATTATCAAAATTTGGATAGTATTATAAATTGTGTTTAATATAGTTTTGTACCTCCGAATTTTTAGAAACAATTTACAAATATTGTCTGTATCACACGTATCGTTGACCGTTATTGCAGTAATTTAATTTATTTAATCTTTAGAAAAATCTGAACTTAACTATAACTTCACAATAATAAAATGATAATCCACACAGTTTAATAAATTTGTAAAAATTTTACTTGAAATTTCAGCTTATGGCCTTTGTGGGTATATATGACTACAAAAATTAAATTCACTATAAATTGCAATTTGTAACTCACTGCAGTTAATATAATCTACTTTTTTATAGTAATTTGTAGTCTGTGGCCTGTTATTATAGGCAGCTAGTAGACATTCTCTGATTAATAAATGTGCTATGATTGGATACCGAATACGTTGCCATTTTACAAAAAGAGATATTATACATACACAAAAATCTGTCATTTAATTAAATAAAATTATCTAAAATCTGTTTTTTATTAAATCATTGAAAGGAAAACATACATTACCACTATCTCTGGACATTATATATAGAATCTATCTATAAAATAGGTGTTTTAAGAGGATGCAACACTTGTATATTATGATGTCTCCGACTTACAATATAAACGAACACATAGTTAATTTTGTTTTTAGCGCCTTCAAAATTGTATAATATAGAAACCTTTAATAATATAGAGTAAGTTAACTTATATAATTGGCTATTATCAAATCTAAATTTTAGAATATTAGCTGTTTCGTTTTCATCTCATAGTTTTTTCATGATATTTTAATTTCCAAGCAATAGTAATTAGTAGGTATATATGTAAAATATTGCGGTTTAAAAATTAAAATATCGTAATAAACCCAAATGAAGACAATTTTCTGGGGTGCCAGTTCTATCAAACCATTCTAAATCGCTACAAATTAAAGTCTTCAAACTCCAAAATAAATATCACATTTACAAAATCATATCCTCCGAGTCCCTTCCCATTGACCCCTTTCAATCCATCCCGTCATATGCGGCTGCTACTTCGGGTTCAAAACCGAACATTAATCCGCWAAACTCTAATTTAAAATTAGCTCTATCAAAATTCCTATCCGATTTAACCTCCATAATTAATTCTTTTCWTTCCGCTATAATAACAACCAATTAATTATGATTATGATATTTACATTTAATATTATTTCTGTTACACTAATATTCCGTTCTGTTTACTCTTATCTGGCATCATCTTATTTATCATTATATCATATGCTCATTAGCTCATTATTATTAATTACCAATTATTACTTATTGTATCACTGTATCTATCAATATTGTAATTGTTGAACTATAATAGTTATACTGAAAGTTCTTAATAAAAAAAAAGACAATTTTCTTATGGCGACTTTTTTTGGTTATCTGGAACCCATCACAACCAAAGTTTCTGCAAAGTTTCAAAACTTCCCGACTTAATCCCATAAAATGTCTCTTTTGGTGTTTATATGACTGATGGGCTATTACCTTAAGAGGACGTTTCACCCGCATGTGTTGTCTCCGTCTTACAARTRCGTAACATTGCAAAAACTRTTTTGCGCGGGAAAGAACCGAGAAAGATACAGTTATAACTAAGAAACGAAATTTTCACCACATAAAAAGGAGAATTTTTTCTGTGCAATATCGTTTTTATTTTTTTGATATCACTTATACAAAAAAAATTCTTATTGCGTTTTATAATACATTAATTTTGCGTTTTTTAAGCATGAATAACTTTTTTTGTAGTTCTGATATCGAAAAAATAAAAACGATATTGCACAGACGAAATTCTCCTTTATATGTGATGAAGATTTCGTTTCTTAGTTATAACTGTATCTTTCTCGGTTCTTTCCCGCGCGAAATACTTTTTGCAATGTTACGCACTTGTAAAACGGAGACAACACATGCGGGTGAAACGTCCTCTTAACTTTGATAATAGGTCTATTCGCTCTGTTGTTAAAAATAGATATTAAGCACAAAATTGGAAGTGCTGAACTCAAATATGTTCTATGGCTATGTTGTACGTTTGTTGTAACTTTTAAGACGGAGGCATTGAGACAATATTTTCTTCTTGGCTTTGGCCTTTAAGACCATGACGCTAAATGGCTAAATACAAATCTTGCCATCTGTCTCTGTCCTCTGCAGCTTCTCTCCATGACTCCATCTGATTCCTGGATCTAACGTTTTTAAGTCCTTTTTTACTTAGTTTTCCCACCTCAACCTTCAGGAAGACTAAAGGTCTTTTACCTCTATTACCTGTCTAACTAGTAACTAGATCCTTGCTTACGCCAGGCATGCCCCTCACATGAGTCTTCTTTTTGTGATCTCCTTAACTATGTCAGGTCCCTGAAACTGTCTTTTGAGTTCATAATTATGTATTTTTCTCCATTCATTTGTTTCACTGTCAAAGACCGGTCAATAAATTTTTTTCAAAAAAATATCTATCTAGGTATATTGAGACAATATAAATATATAATATTCAGGCTGACATGCATTTATTAGTAGAGACCGCTTAAAACAATTACTTCTCCATCTGAAAAATCAAGACAACTAAAATATTCATCACGTATAGACGTATTGTGAACCAATTATTGGCCTCTTCCTCTCCTCACACATTTGAAGTTTATTTTATATATTCGATATTTTATCACATATTTAACTGATTGCACAACATAAGTAATATGTGTGATTATAAAATTATGTCGTGAAATTAAATGCTTTTAATAAGCTATCAAGTTAAGGCTAACTATAAAATATTTATTTTATTTTTTATTTATTAATTATTATTAAGTCAAAGATCAAAGATATAGTTTTTTCGTGTCAAATATTGTCGAACTATACAATGCTATTGCATCTTCCATAAATATTTAAATATAATAAATATGAAAGAACTATTATGATATGTACATTGTACAAAACTACCTATTAGTTGTTAAAATTGTAAGCATCTTAAATTTYTTTAAGTGGCGTTACCAAGGTTAGGTATTGAATAAATTATAATTTAAATACTTAATTTAAAATTGAATCAAAAGTTCATTTGCACACAAATAAAGTAATAAGTATTAATGTGTAGTTAGGTAAATAATAGATATTATACCAATCAAAATTAATATGTCTGTGAGTCAAGTACTTTATATACGATATACCTACCTATTACCTAATACATACACACTAATGTTTACATCCATCCATCAGATAGATAGATTCTATCTTGATYATACTACTTTATACAATTAACAATTATAATTATTACTCAATGTCTCAATACTCGGTCTCTGTGTGACTATTTTTCTGTTATCTYGTAAAAAACACCGCTTATCAACATCGTTATCACTTTAATTTTAATTATGTCTCCTGTAAACATTGTAATTCGTATTCCAGTATTCTACAATCATCACTCATTAGCAGAAGATATCCATATTATTTATACTCACAGATATATAAAACATAATTTATTTTTAAAATTAAYACATGYTTTATATATCTGTGTTTATACTAAATATATTTGTATATAGTATTTGCCGTATTTGGTATCAGTCATTTCCCGATTAATCGATATATTGAAAAGTCAAATATCGATAATATGCTGATATATCGGTTCAGAAAATATTGAATATTGATAATTATTAATTTTATTAAAAAACAAAAAATTTACAAATTAACAACATGCATTGTTCTTTTTTTGTTTGTCATAACTAGAGCTCGGAAGTTGTATTATTTTGCATCGTTTTTTAAATTTGATGACTCATAACTTGTCGTCGGTCCCAATTCGTTAATTTGTCTAGTCGTCGTTAGCCTGCTACAGTGCTCTACTTTTCTGGTCTACCCGGTTTGTCTCCTTGCGTCCATGGCCAGTTACTCATCTACCATTCTACCCATTCATTTTTTTTTCACTTTTACTACGTAGTTCTTTTTTAAAGTATTTTCCTATTAGTAGTTTTGATTATTTAACACCTATTTTAACTAATCAATCCGAAATTCAATGGTAGTGAACAATTTCATTAATCAGTTGCAATTATAAAACATAAATATGACTACTAACAGTAAAAAATACTGTTATCTTTCTCAATTCAAATGGCTGCAAAAGTTTGGCCCATCGTTCATGGTCAAAGCAGAAGATGTAAGTGTATATTTAAACTGAAATGATGTAGCAATTTAATGTATATTTAATATTATTTAATACAATTTTTGATTTTTCAGATCACAGTTTTAAAGAGCCCCTCAGAGTTTTATCGCACACTTTTAGACCGATGCCGTTCGGCAAAACATCGCATTGTAATAGCTTCTTTATACTTGGGCATAGGAAATCTGGAACAAGAACTTGTGAGTTAAATCTGTATGGAAAAATGTGTAAAATCTTATTCTATTTTGAATTATCACTGACTTTGATTTCAGGTAAACACCATAAAAGATGCTATGGAAAACAGGCAAAAATTAAGCGTGAGGGTTTTGTTAGATGCTAACCGTGGGTCAAGAGGTAAAGTAAGTTCACGTACCATGTTGATGTCCTTACTGAATCCATCATTCGATTGCCGTGTAGGTAAATATGGTAAAATATAAATTAAACACATTACCTATTTAATAWATTAATTGTCATCCAGGTGTATTTGTACCATACCCCTAAATTAAGAGGTCTTCTCCGGTTGCTGTTACCTGAAAGATATAATGAATTAATAGGAATTCAGCACATGAAACTATATATGTTTGATGACTCTATAATTATCAGCGGAGCAAATTTAAGTCAAGATTATTTCACTAATCGGTAAATAAAATTACTACATTATTTTTTAATTGTGTTTTCATATTGACATTGTATTAGTATAAAAATATTCATAATTTGTATTAATTGCAATTTTAGGCAAGACAGATATATTCTCATTGAAGACTGCAAGCCATTACTAGATTTTTATATAGGATTAGTTGAATTATTAGGCCGTATGTCTTTTCAGCTGACAAATAAAAACACTTTAATGTTAGATCCTACTTGGGAACATCATCCATATAAGAGTCCTTATAAAACTTACGCATCAGAGGCTAGAAAACAGATAATGCAATATTATAATACACACATCAAACATCCAACTTCTAAAAAAGGTTAAATTAAATTTTTTTGTTAAAATGTAGTATATGTATTATGACTTCTTACTTTTTTCTCATTTAATATTAGATACTGACACAATAGTTTATCCTGTAATTGAATTTCCTCCATTTGACATACACCATGACAGTCAAACAACCAATCTTCTTATGAGTAATGCTGAATTGGGATCTACAATGCACATGGCCACTGGATACTTCAACATACCAGATATTTACACAAATTCTATGTTCCATAAATCATTGGCTAACTTCAAAATATTATTTTCCCATCCAATGGCCAATTCGTTTCAACAAGCTAAAGGACCTGCTGGATTTATACCAACTGCATACAGTTACCTCACAAATACTTTTTTTGATAAAGTTGAAAATCTCAAACTTCATGAACGTATCTCTTGTTTTGAATATCAAAGAACTGGATGGACATTTCATTCCAAGGGTTTGTGGTACACTCCAAACAATTATGAATTGCCAGTACTAACAGCTGTTGGTTCTTCAAATTATGGTATATACCTATTTTAGATGCTGAGCGGAGWGAGGAATGTATTGATTTTACCATGATATGTGTTTTTTTTTGCGTGTGTCGAGTTTTGACTTCAGTACCTCGTTCAATCAGAAAGTAAATCTACCGTTGGTACTTTGGTGGGTCAAAAGTAAAAATTCTCAATATTTTTCTAAATAATCGGGATAAACAAGCTAAAAATTAGGGAAAAACGGGAAATTTTATGCACAATCAGTTTTTGACAAAATCGATTTTGGTTTTTGATGTAAATTTAAATCAAATGACCATAGATAAATGCAATTTTCAAAAAATTTTGAAATAATTTGAACTATTTATAGGCATATGCAATTTTCAATCATTATTAGTTTTTTAAAATTAATATCAATACAAATTTATTTATTAGGTAGAAAAGCTTGAAAATTTAATACAAGACTCCTAACATATTGCTACAATAGCAGTTGAAAAATAAAATAAATTCATAGTCAGAATCCATCATACAATTTAGTTTTTTTAAAGTTAAAATTGTTATTTTCAGGTGCCAGATCATTGAATTGTGATTTAGAATCACAATTGATAATTGTAACAAATAACAAAAAATTGCAGCAAAACTTTCATACAGAGAAAAATTACGTTTATGAATCAACATCATTATATATTCCAGAGGGTGAATTTAAAGCACCTCTTTGGGTACGATTAGTTTTAAGAGTGTTTAAAAATTATTTTTAACTATTTTATTTTTTTGTCAAAAATATATTTCATTTAAAAGTATACAGTTTTATATTCTTAATACAATTATCAAAATAATCCAAAATACTCATGTTAATATCATTTTGTACTTATAAACTTCAAATTCCTTACAATAGTATATTGGTAGAAAAAGAGATAATTTTTATTTAATTATATATATATATTAATGACACTTTAACCTAAAATAAAAAAACTTATTAAAGATAATACTCAATTTTTGCAATAGACTGTATATTACAAGTCATTACTCTGAAAAGTTAGGTTAGATACTAATTAAAATAACAATTTTTATAAAAAAAAATAGTTTTAAGCGAAGCTTATTTAATATTTAAATAGTCATTATTTAGCTCAAATCTACAATTAGCTTATAACTTGTCATTAATTTTTTGCTACTTTTGTAATTTCCTCAAACATTATTGATAAATCATTAACCTAACCTGTCTTGAGTACTTATATTTATGCTATATTCATAAAATGTCTGAGGTGCTACATAAAATATTAATATATATTTTTACTTCTAGTATATAAAAAATGTTTTTCTGCAAAAATAATGCATTTGAAACAAATTAAGTTGATAAATTCTCTTATAGAGAAAAATCAATAATGTGTTTTTATTTTTTTTTATTCAATCTGTTTCAAAAAAGAACAATAAGAACAACTAAGATAATAGATTGTAATAAAAATAAAAATAATGAAAATAGATAGATATAATCAGAGCTTAGAAACTTCAGTGGSATAGGCGCAATTTCAATAAAGAAACTAGGGGTGCTAAGCTATGCATTTTCTCATTTTAGTTTTTTATTTTTGTAGGAAGAAGTTTTTGTTACATAAACTTGAACATTATTTAAGATTGATAATTTTGAAATTGAGGGTGCTAATACCTACCCTTTAAACACCCTCCCTATTTGCGCCTATAAATACAGGGCCAGATTAACATTTTTACCTCCCATATAGGCTGAACGCTGAAATAAATTTACTAGTAAATTCATGTTCAATACTTAATAGTAGTAATATTATACTTAATATGGCAAGTGCATTTAATCGGCCTTGTGACATCCGCGTAGATGGGAGATAATCTTTTATTATTTTTAAGCGTGAAAAAAGAGTTTAGCTGAATAACTAGGAAGTCACATCAATATATGTATTTAAT